AAAAACTAATAACATAGAATAGTTTTACAATCAGTACGCACCTTTGTTCCATTACAACCATCACGACCAGGTAAACCTGAAAAAATAAATTGTTCATTTCATTGTTTCTTATACATACTGATCATTTACCTTCTGGTCCCTAAAATAAAATAGAAAATAATATTATAAATTATATGAGAAAAATATATTGAATCACTCACTCTTGGACCCGGAAGACCAGGCAAACCGGGATGGCCTAAAATGAAATTTATTTATATAGAATTAAACGAAATAAGTAGTCAATTTATTCATACCAGGCATTCCAGGTTCACCGGATCGCCCCTATTAAATGAGAAAAAGAAGACATAAAACCAAAAAAATTCTTTTTATTTTATATGATAAATACTTACTCTGTCACCTTTTTGACCAGGTAGACCGGGTAAACCCCGATCACCTTTTTCTCCTTTCATACCCTCAGGTCCTAAATATTAAAATTATTAATATTTATAAAAAAAATCATAATAGAAAAAAAAAATACTTTACCTTCAGGACCAGGAACACCATCTGACCCTCGAGCACCCGTAGGACCCATTGGACCAGCTGGACCCTAAATAAAATCAAGTAATATAACATAACATATTTTGTTCTTTATTCTATTCTTATAAATTTACCTGATCTCCTTTTTGTGCTATACAAAAACATGGTTGATTACAATTATTGCAGTCACCACTGGTTTTCTGAACTCTTGGTTGATATTGGGATGAACCATAGCCGGGTGCAAATGCATAACCTGGTGGTGGTGTTACCGTATTGGAATCGTTGTTCTAGAAGAAAAGAAAAATAACAATCACATTTATTTATATATACATATTCATTGAACTTGTTCGTTTCCTTTTAATTTGCCTGTAAACTGTTTATTATATCATACACAGATATGCCTTATAGCGCAACATTTTCTACCTTCTCTTCTGTTCATTGTATCGCGGCATTTGGTCTCCAGTTGTTCCTTTTTTTCCTCTCTCTCTCTATATATATATCTTGCTTACAGTAATAGAGAATGACAAAATAATTAGTATTGATAATGATGAGGCAAGTCACTCAATCACCACCGTTATCGTTCAATTGACTCAAATGTATATATACACAGGCGCCTTTTTTGTCTGTTCATGGTGATAGAAAATATGCCTGAACTGTTTATTCACAGTAGTTGCCTGTTTATTATCGCTACTAGTTGTACAAAACGATTGCATCATAAATCCACGTGAAGATAAACGTAACTAAAACATATGAAATACATACTCTTAATTGAGCATTGCTTGTTTCAATGAATATGGATAGGATAAGTAGGAATACAATGGAAGCATAATTTAACCTAAAAAAAAGAAAGAAAACAAATTAAAAATAATATTTCTTCTTTTTTTTTTCTTTTATTGGATAAGATTACAATAAACTATACATATCTATAGATATCAATGAAATAAAATGAATAAAGATAGCATGATGCAATGTAGATAATCTATTCTATCCATATGTATAGCAATATACATTCATTTATTCTTTTATTGATGTCCTCCAGCTTATCGAATTTTTGATCATTTCCATTGATCAATGTCTAATAGAACATAAAACCTATTGCCTTCTCATTATGGTGAATATTGGCAAATAGCTTGTCAAGCTTGTCACTCATTACATAAATATATATGTATAATCGAGAATAAGATAGATATCAATATGAACACGCCTTAGATATACAGATGATCGATGTATAATCATAAAATTTTTTTTTTCTTTTTCTCTATGTTTTTTCACTTAACACATTACAAGCTCGCAACTCTTATCATCGGTTCTCACTTCACTTTCAATTTAAGTTTACTTTGATATAAAATAAACGCATACAGACATATTATATAGATTCAATATATACTCATATATGTATATAAATGCACGTAAAGAATGCGACTAACAATTATTTAATACTCATCGCACGTCAATTAAGCACAAAGATGAAGAGAGAGAGTAACCCAAAATTCAATGATATATTAAGATATAGATCGGTTGAATAGTTGGCTACAAAATCATTTCTTTTACCACATAATGGGCAAGCTCTTGACAATAAAAGAATAGAAAAGTAAATGCTTTGTTCAAGGAATAAACATGAGTATTCTGCAGCTTTTCTTTATGTTGCATCACATTACCATACACTTCTCTTACTATTCTTTTAACAAAGAAGAGAAGTGGTAATGAATATATATATGTATGGATGGATGTATGTTTGTTCCTATTATCAGATCAAGCGTAAAAGAAAGACAATGGTAATATTATGCATTATCCATATCTAGTTGTGTCTATCATCATTCTTAGACTATTCTTATTTTAGTTGAACTTTATAAGAGAAAGGGAATATTTATGTGTGTATGTGTGTCTTCAAGGTAGTTCGTGGTATCACGATTACTAGCCTTTCCTTTTCGCGGAAAAGAAAGAAAAGAAATTAATAATAACTGTTAGGTAAATAAACAAACTGATCTATATGTATGTGAGAATATGCAACTAGAATAATATGATGAATGATATTGACTCTTTCTTTCTATTTTGTTTTGAAAAGAAATTAACCAGTGGTCAAATAATATACATATATCTATATATAAATGATGAATATACTTACTTGGTCATACGAATACATAACCATTTTGTATAAGTTTTATGGAATATTATTCTTGCAAACATTTGGCATACAATTAATAGAAAAATAAAGAAACTTGTATAATCTTTTTTCTTATTACGCTTTCTTTTGTTAATGTCGTCCTTTGTTCGATTAGATGGCAATGACGATAGTATGTTTACAATGGGCTATAGCAATGATAGAGTCCTTCTATTTTATTGCTATCTTTTAGTACATATCGACGTCAACATTGGATAAAAATGACCTTAGCACGACTGGTGGTTGCCATCTTAGTGCGATAATTAATAATTCTTGAATATTGTACAGAAAAGAAGAAAAACTAGTAACGTTATCGTATGTACAAGACGGTGATAGAATAGTACACAGAGAGGCGATGAAAGATGAACGCGAGTAGGCAAGGAAGCGAAGGAAAAAAAAGAGATAGATAAACCAAGGAATTATTATGTGATCTCAATAATCTATTAGCAAAAAAAGCCAAGGAGGAGAATCGACGAGGCCAAACGAGAACGATAGTACTTTGTACCAATATAACCTCAAAAAAGATAAGAAATGTATTTTTAGCTTGTACTAAATGGCACGATAAATTTAGACAGAAGATTCTTTTTTTTTGAGTACTCTGACTAATCCGAATATTAAACTTTTTTCAATGGTTAACTGAAGAAATAAAAAAGAAAAGACGAGAACTATTCTTTTTATTTCTTCTCCTATTTCATCAATTTATGGCATATAAATGCATAAAATACAAACATAGAGAGAGAGAGAGATACTCCGGTGTAAAAAGAATATGTATAAACGAGTTCTTTGTTATAATATGCACACATATAAACCGACTGTCAGTATTGATGGTAATATCATGCAGTGGGAACAACAGAGAGTAAATAAAAGAATAAATAAAAGATATCTCTTCCTTTCTTCTTTTTTTTTCTCTTAATAAAAAAGAAACTATGAAAAATTGTTTATAAATACAAAATGACGATGGTCGACATCGTATGTCCTATCGCTTTGATTTGGTTTATGTAACAGCGCGTGTATATAAAAGATGAACAGAAACGAAAAACTCTCTTACGAATGATCTCTAAATGAAGAAAAAAGGAAAGGCAAACTAGCCATGAATAGTTGAGAGTCTATTCATATGCAGCTCTCTTTTTTTCTCATACAAACATATGCAACCATACATACATATATACATATATATATATACATATATATATACACATATACAGATCAACGGACGGTATAGATCAATTGGAATGAAAAAAAAGTGTACCCATATACACGTTTGTATTAAAAAACAAAATATGAATACTTCTCTGTCTTTTCATTTTCTCTTTTCTATTATTCTTCAATGTTAGATCAACATTGAATAAGTAACTTAAATGGCTTACCTTATAGTCCGCAAACGGGACGATTTTGAAGTTGATGTTGTTAGTTGCATATTGTCAAATGGCCTGTCTATAGTCACGCGCGATTCAGCGGCGACGGACAGCTACAGTAGTTGCACTGTCGTCGTCGTATAGTCTACAACAGACGAGTAAAGATCGAACGCGAGCAGTCGCTCAAAAAAGTGCTAACGTTGTAGAAACTGGACTATTTTCTTCCCTTGGTACAATAATATCAATCGTCTTAGTACAATCATAGAAAGAGAGAGAGAGAGGGAAGGAGAGAGAGAGAAAGAGAAGAGAGATGACACTCAAATCCACCAACCAGAAAAACGCGGTTTTTGTTCTATATTCCTTTCTTGATGAAAGATGAATATCGATTGTGCTGTACCGCTTCTGCTGTTTCTGTGTAGTAGTAGGACTGATAACATACATAATATTACATATACATATATACGTAAGACATTTTCTCTTACATACAAACACTCGCCCTGCGTAATTTGCTACCACAATCATTATCGTCCAGTTTTCTTATAATGCATTCGCTTTTTCTCCCAAAAAAAAGGCAGAGAAATGTAGAGAGAAGAAAAAGAGAGGGAAAAGAAAAAAAATGTACATGTTGTACAGCTCGAACTAGCTTTTTTTGGCTGGACTAATGTCCGTTACTGCTACTACCGTTATCAACTGACTAACAATTGAACACGTTTTTATATAAACTTGTCAAAAATACATTGAGTAAGAGATAAAAACAGACAGACATATCTTTTCTTTTGTTTATTTTTTGTGATTGTCTATAGTGAAGATAGAATTATATTTGAAAAAAGAAGATGAAGAAGACTTTGCACGTCAGATATCTCATAATTATGTTTGTATTCTTTCTTTTTCTTTATTTTTTTTCTTTATTGAAGATTACAGATTGATTGTTGAATTACGTGTGTCGTGTTTGTGTACGCACGCGCCCGATGGCTTCATTATTGAGGCCGTTCATCATCGGTCTTATTTTGTTTTTTTCTATTCTTAGTCAAATTGAAACTCGAACTGTAAGTATTCATAATAAACATAGAATTTGATTTTTTACATAATTTGATTTTTGTCACTATTTTATAGGCTCAAAATGATGATGATGTATCAAAGATTAGAGTAAAAAGACAAGAATATAATCCATATCCTTATGATCATCGACAACGATATCCTCAACCTCCATCTGGACAATATCCACCAAAAGATCCTAGTGAAACACATGTTCAAGGTACTGAATGTAAAGGTTGTGGTCCACGACGTGATTGTCAATGCCCAGGAAAAGGTGCTATGGGTATAACTGGTAAGTTCTATATTATTATTATTTTTTTAAGCAAATATAATATGACAATGATTTGATATAATATTCGTTGTTATTTTTAGGTCCACAGGGTTTTCCAGGTATTCCAGGTGATCGTGGTCTTAAAGGTCCCTCAGGACGACCAGGTAATACAGGTGTTTCTGGTGAAAAAGGTGATCGTGGTCAATATGGTAACAAAGGAGAACGAGTAAGTTACAATTATTTATTCTTTTTTGTTATTATGTTTTCTTTTCTATATCTTTGAACAAATAGGGTGATGATGGTTTATTGCCTATTGATGGTCAAAATGGTTTTCCCGGACAGCCTGGTGCTGTCGGTCCACGTGGTATTCCTGGTGTACCCGGTTGTAATGGTAGCAAGGTACAGAAACATGAGAGATGTAATAGAGTGAATGTCTCTGTTGTATGTGTTTATTCAATATACACAATATGGATTACGTTTTCTATTCTCGTCTTCATCATTCTGATGAGATAAGATATAACCGCAAATAAACCAAGGCCGGTACATACGTACTGATATGACACATAAGGGGAAAATATACATTTTTCTTTTCCTTCTTTTCTTTTTTTTCTATCTATAGATAAATTAGAGAAGCCAAGTGATCTATGTATATCCTTGATAAGAAATGTCTGACGTAAGGGATAAATGAAAATCATAATTGGTCTTGTCTGTCATTCGTCTTTTGCCCTCAAGATTTCTTATCATTATAGACTTTATCCATATTTCATTTTCAGACGATCCCAAAAATGTAATTATCTGAGTTTGTTGCGGTACATGCAACCTTGGTTTTTTTCTGGATGTGGATAAATGAAAAAGAAAACTGCAGAAAATGACGATTATATAAATAATTGCTTCCTTTTTTGTCTTTTCTCATGTCCTTCTATCAACCCTACGACCTTGGTAGGACGATTCTTGTATTGCGGTTTGGCCCTATTACTCATATAACAAACATAATCCATATGGATAACTAAACAGATATTGAAAGACAATGAGGTCATATATGCCAGCTGTAAGAAGTCTTTGACTTCTGAATTCTATATATATACAAACCATAATTATTAGTACTTATATCTACTAGCAAATATCTTTCCACTATATTATCCAATGCATATGTATAAATAGAAAAGAAAAATGTGTAGATAGACAACTAATGTTGCGACAAACTTATGCATCTTGTAAACAGTTTCAGTGATGAGTGCTATTTATGGTATGCTAACATGCATAAAGAAAATTTTTGCTTGCTAGCGATACGTTTATCCAACTAATAACGATGAAAAAATGTGTATACATAGATATATTTGGATGATGCAATAATTGTTGTGTAATAAATAGTGGAGCCATATTGAAGTAAAACTATCGAAAGAGAACGAGAGATATGATAATTAAGATGATTAAAAAATTCTTCGGAAAGAAAATAATGAAAGAAATATATAGTAAAAGTAGTAGTAGTAGTAATACAGTGCAAAATAGTAATTGATTATTGTTAATGTCAACACTCTAAATTTCATCTGAAGTAATCTATCATTCATTAACGTTACTTTTCTTGTATGTTATTGATAATGTAACTTGTTATCATGACGATATTGCTAATATGTACGTGAAATGGATTTTACAAAAAAAGGAAATCAACAATATTTAGTCATAGATCAAGGTCTATCCATATATATCTTAATTATTTTATCGTCATTATGACTCAAGATTGATTAAATCAATACTCTAGAGATTTCTTGACTCAGACATATTCTTACATATGTATTACAGAAAAGATTAGAACTGATATAAATAACACTATACAATTGGGGATATTTTATCTGTCAGTATAACTAATGTTGAAGTGTCTGTTGGTCTGATAAAATGATTGTATATTTTGTAACCTTTACACTAAGCATAAAAATAGACAAAGATCAAATGGCACCTATTTGTCTATCGTTCTCAAAAGATCAAAAGACTAATCTCATTTGGATAATAAACAGAAAGAAATGAAGAACATTAGTATTGGAAATTTTATTTAACAAAACAAAACGAATTCAATAGAAAAACCTACGAAATAAATTATAGAATCCTTGCTCTATAGTTCTGTATGAAAAATTTAGTCCTAATACTTTTCCTGTTGGAGATAGTATTCATACATTTTCAACTAAAGATTTTCTGAAAAGACGTGTTTAGTGTAGTCGATAGATACACTTCCAAACTCGATGAAACTTTCAAGGAATATTTTTCTCATTAGTTTTTAATGGTTTTTTTGCGTTCTTTTGTCTTAGAAACACTTGAACAGAAAAAAAAGGAGATATATTTGGAATCGGAAGGAAAACTTGCATGTAAAAAAAGTGATATTCGTTAATTTTTTAAAAATAAACATTTTTTGGATCAAAGTTAAGGGTGAGAATCCTATCTCATTCATTTTATGTCAAAAAATCGTGTCTGAGGAATTTCATTTGTTTGCTGAGTGCTGCGAATTAATATTTCTATGAAAACAATTTTTTTAACATAGAAAATAAGCTATGTTCATGCGCTCTATAGAAATTGATCACTGTACAGTACCAGCGATGATTGTTATTGATTTTTAAAAATGAATGTCTTGATTTTATTTATAGGGTGAACCCGGTGACGATGGTCGCATTGGATTAGATGGTCTACCGGGTTCTCCTGGTATACCAGGATCAGCGGGTCTGATAGTAAGTCTTCTTTTCTTGTCTTATTATTTCTATAATTTAGCTTTTAAACTATTAATTAGGGTGAACCAGGTGACTCAATTGGTCTTGGTGGTGTTGTACCCGGACCACGTGGTGATCCTGGCATGCCTGGTCGTTCTGGTGTACCCGTGAGTATAAATAAAGGAAAAAAAAGGATTTTTTTTGAAAAAAAATATGTGATATTCTTTTCATCGATAGGGTTGGCCTGGCCCTCCCGGTCCTCCAGGTTTGTCAGGTCCATTAGGACCACCAGGTCCAGATGTAAATATTATACATTATCTTTCTGTATATGATTTAAACATATTTTTTCTATTCTAGGGTGGCCCTGGACCAAGAGGTGATTCAGGATTACCAGGACCAGATGGTCCCACAAGCTATGGTAACAAAGGTAAAATAATTCATTTTTTGAAATAATCAAATATTTTAATGAAAGTTTTATTTTATTTTTAAGGTCAACGTGGTGATCCAGGCGATAATGCTCCTACACCAGTCGATCCAGTACCATATGGTCGTTTGCGAGGTACGTATATGGTTCCTCTTTTTTCTGTATTGAAATATTCTTAAAAATTTGAAACGAAAATTAGATCATTACTTGATGTAGACTAGTTTTTTGCAGTAAAAGTTTACATTTTTGCTGTTGTTGTATATTCATTTGTATTGCATCCTTCCTCATAGAAATAAGTCTGTCGATATTTACATACAAGACAAAAACAAGAGTTGAACCTTTTTATGCTCCTTCAAACAAAAGCCGATAACTTTTTCCTTCTAATCATTATCAATTTTAATATTTACTTTTCTATCAAAAAAAAAGAGAATCCTATTTAATATTTGTTAGAAAATTAAAATGTTGTTTTTCAATAGGTATTACAAATGTTCAAGGGCCACCTGGTATGCGTGGTCCAGATGGTGATCGTGGTTATAAAGGAGACCGTGGTCAACCTGGCTATTTAGTATGGGTTTTTTATTTTCAAGAAAAAAAGAGAAAGAATAATGTTTTTTTCTTCTTTAGGGTATCGATGGTTTACAAGGACCTAAAGGAGAAAAAGGTGAAATTGGTGCACATGGATCACAGGTAAATGAACGAAGAAAAAAAATTCATGGATGTACATTTTTATATTTTAAAAAGGGTAAAATCGGTAAAGAAGGTCCTTCTGGTCCATATGGAATCAAAGGCGAAGCAGGTCAGTTTTCTTTTCTTTTTGTACAATTCAAACTTATTTTGACTGTCATTTCATTTGTAGGTCCACCTGGTCCACCTGGAAGTGATGGTCTTCCTGGCGGTAAGCGAATGAACAAAAAAAAACGAATATTTAGAATATCAAGTTGTTTTTGATTGTAGAATCTGGTCAATCTGGTTATCCTGGTCCTAAAGGTCAACGTGGTGATCATGGTGTAAATGGTCCAAATGTAAATAATAGAAAATTCATACTTGTTTTTTTTTTAATTTTCACTATATCTTTATTATAGACTTATGGTACCAGACGTTCTCGACCACTTCCTGGACCACCAGGTTATCCTGTATGTTATTGCATGTTTATCTATTGTGATTGAATATATATCTTCTTTACTTTGTTTTATTCTTTTCTAGGGAATGACAGGTGATGCTGGACCAAATGGTTTTCCTGGTGCTCCTGGTTTTCCTGGTGAGCTATCGAAAAATTGATGAGTGATAAATATTCTATTATTTGTTGCATAATAGGTCGAGAAGGTCTTAAAGGTGAACGAGGTGATTATGGTTCGCCCGGTCGACCTGGTCCTATGGGTGAAACAGCTGATGCCGAAAAGGGTGATCGAGGTTCTGATGGTATGTTATAGTTTGTCCTTCGTCATTTTTTTTGTTTAATTAATAAGTTGTTTATTTATTTAGGACTTCCTGGTCCTTCTGGACCACCTGGACCTGCTGGTAATATTGTTTTCATTGAATACATATTTATTTACATATATATTTGCTTATGTTAGGCATTCCGGGTGAAAAAGGTGCTATAGGCGAAAAAGGATTACCTGGTGAAGAGACATACGGTATATTTTTTAATTAGTTTTTGTCTAAAAAGAAAACAAGAACGATTTCTTTATAGGACCACGTGGAAATAATGGACTTCCGGGACGTACTGGATGTAAGTTCTTTTCTTCAAATATCAAATAAATTGATCATCATGCTTACCCATGTTTTTCATTGATAGATCCTGGTTTACCCGGACTATCAGGTGATATTGGTGAACCAGGTTTACCAGGTAAACAGAATTTTTTGATAGATAGATAAATGATAATTCTATTTTGTATGAAAGGTCTACCAGGTGATGCAAGTTTTCAAGGTTATCAAGGTGAGAAATACATATATTTGTTTATATTGTTTGTTTTATTAAAAATTTTTTTATTTTAAGGATACGGTCCTCCGGGTTCACAAGGGTGAATAATTTCTTTTTTGTTAATATAATTTTTTTATCGAATTTTTACTGAATATAGATATCCAGGTCGACCAGGTCAACCAGGCGCACCCGGCTTTCCTGGTATGTATTTTTTCTCTGTTTCTTTTTGTTAAAACTTAATAAAATTTATATTATCATTTAGGTGTTCCCGGATCGAAAGGTGATGCTGGTAAGTAATCATTGAAAACTTAGCATGAAATTGATTTTAATCTTTTGTCTTTTTTTTTTAAGGTGACCCTGGTGGTTGTGGATTTTGTCCACCTGCTACTTCTGGTCTTCCAGGTGATCGTGGTAGCCAAGGTTATCGTGGTCGACCAGGTGTAAGTATTATTTTAATAATAGTGTCTTTTTGGTAATTATATCATTTATTTGTTTTCAGTTAACTGGAGCACCTGGCTTTCGAGGTAAATATTTCTTGATTTTCTCGGAATTCTAATGTTACACTTATATTTTAATTTAGGTGAAAAAGGCGATAGCGGACCCAGTGGATCTTCTGGACCAAATGGTTTACCTGGACCAGATGTAAATAATCAATTACATAAGATTATAAAAAATGAATTTTTCATATATTTTAGGGAATTCCTGGTCGAGATGGTTATCCAGGTTTGTCAGGACGTAAAGGTGAATCTGGCGAATTGATTGGTGCTGATGGCATTAAAGGTAATGATAGATACTAGAATAGAAAATATATTATCCATTCAGCGAAAAAAAAAGTGCGATATGCAATCTAACGAATGCACAAAATAGAGAAAATCGATATTGAATTTCCGTGAATTTCTTTTCACTCACACATGTTGCTACTTGTTAAATCTAATTAAATGTTATTTTCTATTTGCTTACAAGCAAAGATTTATATTTTGTAATGTAGGTCGTCGAGGAATACCGGGTGAATCAGGAGTTAAAGGTTATCATGGTGATGTTGGTGAGCCTGGTGTTAATGGACGTGATGGGTATGAATTTCATAGGATATGTACATTTTGACTTTTTTATATTTTAGCTATGACGGTATTCCTGGTGCACCTGGTCTACGCGTATGTTTTCTTTTTCTAGATATCTATTTACCTATGTTTGTTTTTCTTATGCAGGGTCCTCCAGGTGATGTTGGACGATCAGGAACTGCGGGTATTTCAGGACCTAAAGGTAAATTCATTATTGTTTTTTTTTTGAAAGATTAAGAGTTTCTATATTGCATTTTGTTTCTTTAATAGGTCCACAAGGTCCATCTGGACCACCAGGTCAAGTATTTGCACGTGGGCCACGTGGTGACCAAGGTGAAAGTGGTCCACAAGGTAAAACTGGACGATCTGGTCTACCTGGTCCACCTGGTGATGATGCGCCGGTTCCAGTGATTACACCTGGTGAGCGAGGAATTAAAGGATATCCGGGTGATCAAGGGTAAGACTTTAAATGTACTTACTCTTGTATAATTTTATTGTTTTTCAAAATTATTCTAGTTTTGCTGGTCAACCTGGTAAGTAGTTGTGTGAAAAGTTCTATGAATAATTTTATTAATATTTGTAATATTGATAAGGTGCTCCTGGATTACCTGGACGAGATGGTCTACCTGGTGGTAATGGTTTTCCTGGTCCAAAGGTAAAGATAAACATTACTCTAGTCATTGTTTGCAAAATTGGTAACATTTGATGTATATTTTAGGGTGAAGATGGTCGACCTGGCTTTCCTGGAGTACCAGGTTTGTCTAGCTTTTGATTTATATGTATATCATAATTAATATAGCTTTTTTTATTTTTAGGAGAAAATGGTGTTAAAGGTAGACTAGAAAAAACATTCATTCTTTCGTCTATGTATTTTATATAGGTTATCCGGGTATGGATGGACGACCTGGTCTTGATGGACGGTATGAATATTCCTTTTTCTCCAACGAGATATTAGACTTTGTTTTGTCTTTTTTTTAGACCTGGCCTTCCAGGAATGAGTGGACAACCTGGTCTACCTGGCTTACCAGGAGCTAAAGTAAATTGTGAAAAATTATTGCTTGTTATCATTAATATTATTTTACTTTAAATCTAGGGACAACGAGGTGAAACTGCTGTCGCAACAATATCTGGACCACCAGGCGCTCCAGGTCCAAAAGGTGTTACTGGTGAACGTGGTGCACCTGGTATTGCAGGAAGTCGTAAGTATTCGCAAAATAGATTTATCTTAATTAACAATCACTTATCACTTTTTTTTTCAGGTGGTCTACCTGGCCAACGTGGTTTACCTGGTAATCCAGGTCAGTGAAAAATATATTAAACTATCTTTTAGGTCTACAATTTCGTTTCTATTATAGGTGTAAATGGTCTTCCGGGACAAGCTGGTCTACAAGGACAAAAAGGAGAAAGAGGTAAATTTTTTAGCTTTATTTATAAGTAAATACATGAAAATTGTTCTAGGTGGTACTGGAACTGCTTGGCAAGGTGATATTGGTTTGCCTGGTGTACGTGGTCGACCCGGAGGTATATACGTGTATTTTTAATTTGTAGTATATAAGTTTTTTTTTGTCGTTCAGCCCCTGGAATGGCTGGAGCTCCAGGTAGTCCCGGTCTAGCTGGTTTTCGTGGTTTACCTGGTGATTTGGTATGATTATATACGAAAAAAAAAAAGAAATTCACTTATTTATATCTTAATAAATAGGGTCGACCAGGTCAAAATGGTGCACCTGGCTTTCCAGGCAAACCTGGCGAACGTATGTTTAAAATTTTTCTAATGTTCTTATTATAATCGATTTCTCTTGACAAAATAGGAGGTGATAATGGACTTGATGGATTTCCTGGTTTGATTGGAATGAAAGGTGAATGTTTTTCATATTATTCTTTTTTATAATATAATAATGAATTTGTTTCTTTGATTTAAAACAGGTCGTCCTGGTGTACCTGGTGAACGTAAGTAAATATGATTTTATTTTCTATAGAATAATATTTGTAATATATTTTGATTTAGGTGGATTACCTGGCAGTGCTGGCCCAAATGGACTTCCCGGTTTTCCAGGACCTAAAGGTCTTCCAGGTAAATTATTATTCTTTAATCTAATCAAATTTATTTAACAATATCGATTTACATCATATGTAGGTGATGTCGGAGAACCAGGTCTTCATGGTGGCTATGGTCTACCAGGTCAAAAAGGAGGAATTGGTATGCACATAAGAGTAAAACACAGAGGGAAAGAAAAAAAAAATTATATTCTAGGTGAGCCTGGTGAAGTTGGTCTACCGGGTATTAAAGGTCTTCCAGGAGAATCTGGTTCATGTATGTATGAGAAATATGAAGACAAATATTTCTTTATCAAAAATAACTTTTATTTTAATTTGTAGTTGGTTCCAAAGGATTTCCAGGCGAAGTTGGGTAAGTCATAATTTCTATACAACTTTAGATTATATTTCAATCTTTGTTTGTGTCTGTTTTTTAGATTCTCCGGCTTACCTGGCTCTCCTGGTTTACCTGGTCGTGATGGTATGTTGACTATTTAACGATTATTCTTAAGCTAGAATAAATTTTTCTTTAAGGACGTCCTGGTTTACCTGGTTTGAAAGGAGAAGTAGGTGATTGGTTTAAAGGCGTTAATGGTAAGTTTTTATTTAAAAAAAGAAATATATTCTATATTTCTTATTTTTTTAGGAATACGAGGTGAACCTGGTTTACCTGGCCTTCCTGGTATTCCGGGTACTACGGGTTTTCGTGGATTGGTTAGTAGAAATAACTATATATTATATATTTAGAAAAACTAAATGAATTGTATATCATTTTATTTTTTAGCCCGGCCTTCCAGGTGCTATGGGACTACGTGGACAACCAGGTCTTATTGGATATCCAGGTAAAATCATAAAATTAATTAAGTGTTTGATCAAATTTTATTTGCTAATAGGTCTTTCGGGTCTTAGTGGTGCACCTGGCTTACCCGGACTGAAAGGTCAACCAGGACAAAGCGGTATGTATTTTAATCCAATAAATATATTAATATGACACATGTCTTGTATATAGGTCTTCCTGGACTTGTTGGACCTCCAGGTGATCGAGTAAGTTTAACAAATATAATTTTTCTAGATATACTTTATTTTAAATTATTTTATTGATAGGGTCTTCCTGGTCGTCCTGGTTTACCAGGTATAACTGGTCTGAAAGGAATGAGTGGAGAACCAGGTCGAGATGGACGAGCTACAGAAGCAGGTAAATAAAAAATCGAGTCAAATTTATTCTTACAAATATCTCAAATTTGTATTCTCACAGGACGAAAAGGAGAACCAGGTGATGTTGGTCCATCTGGAATTCCAGGACTTTCTGGAATGATTGGTGATGTTGGTATGTATGATTTAGTAAATCGTTTTTCATTTTCAAATGTACACATGTAAATTTTCTATTATAGGCCTACCAGTAAGTTAATAGTCGATAAGTGAGGAACATTTTTTTTTCATTCAATCATTTCAGGGTACACCAGGTATTACTGGTCCACAGGGAGCTCCAGGTAAGATAATATAAAGAAAAATTTTTTGTTAAGTTTCATACTTATAATCGATAATGTTTTAGGTCGTGATGGTCTTCCAGGTTTACCAGGCGAAAAAGGTTTAGCAGGCATACCAGGAAAAACAGGACGACAAGGTAAATTATTATCTAGTATATAACTTGTATTATTTTATGTCTCTTATTTTAGGTTTACCTGGTATACCAGGATCTAAAGGAAGTGCTGGCTATCCTGGCCGTCCTGGTATGAAAGGTGTACAAGGTGAAAGTGGTATGTATAAATGAAATTCATTATTGATTTCAATCAATATGATTACGGTCTATTTGATTTCTAATTTAGGTGGTCGCTCTTTACCAGGTCTTCGTGGTGATCCTGGTCGCGATGGTCTTCCAGGTCGAGCAGGTCTTCGGTAAGTTTCCTAGTAAGACCAAAAATTTGAATTAGTTTGATAATTTTATTATTTAAGAGGACCACCTGGTGACATTGGTCCACCTGGTCCACCTGGTCGTGATGGTACGTAATCTCAGTTGTTTTCATGAATGTTTTATTGATCGCATTTCTATAACTCTTTTCTTTTTAGGTCGTGGAGTAACTGGTTTACGAGGACCAACGGGAGATCGTGGTCGCGATGGTTTATCAGGTCGACCAGGTCCAAGTGGCTTTCCTGGACGAGATGGTAAACCAGGTTTAGCTGGACCTCCTGGTAAGTTCAAGAAACTAATTTTATTAGACAATAATTGTTTGCTATTTAGGTATACCGGGCCTTCTTGGAATCAACGGCCTTCCTGGTATATCAGGTGCTGCTGGTGCAAAAGGATTACCGGTAAATAAATTTTTTTTTCTATGATATCAAATTATAATTTGATTTTATCAAGGGTCAACCAGGACCAGCTGGAAATCCAGGTTCACCTGGAAGACGAGGAGAGTCAGGCACACCAGGTATGTCTTATGCATGAGTCAATAGAAAATAATTTAATATAATATCTTGTTTTTGTTTTTCTGTTAAGGTGTGCCAGGAATTCCAGGTCGTAAAGGAGAAATAGGTGATGCAGGTTTGTTTCAATCATATATCTTTTCTATTGATAGAATACAATTATTTGTTTGTTTTTGTTGTATAGGTTTACCAGGTGCTGATGGATTCCCAGGTATACCAGGTCCAAAAGGAGAAACAACACGAGTAGAAGTAAGAAAAGAATTGATTGTTTTTGTCATTGAGAAAAATATTCATGTTTATCTATTAGGCTTTGGTACAACCAGGTACAAAAGGTGAACGTGGAGATCAAGGATTTTCTGGTAACGAAATAGATTATGGAAATTTCTTTTTTTTCGAAAATTTATTTTGATTCCTTTTTTTAGGTGCTAATGGATTACCAGGTAAAATTGGTCTTCATGGACCAAAAGGTTATCCAGGTCAAGTTGGTCTTGCTGGTCGCCCAGGTAAATGGACATATGCAAACAATGAAATATTCAACTAATAATTATTCTCTTGCTTTATAGGCAGTCCAGGATCATTAGGAGCTCGTGGACCAATCGGTGATGTTGGATTTCCAGGAGCGTAAGTACTAAATTTTCTTTTTCTATTTGTTTTATCGAGTTTTGTTTGATTATTTAGACCCGGTTTACATGGGTCACCAGGATCACCAGGTAAGTCTTTTGTATAAAAAAAATAAAAAAGAATATTAGATATTAATTTAATATTTCTTTTTTTGTATAGGTATTGCTGGTCTTCAAGGTCTTCCAGGAGATACAGGTGAAGGTTCATTCATATTTGCACGGTATGTTATTATTCAATACAGATGTTAAATCCACTTTTTTTATTTATTGTATTCTATTATTTTAGTCATAGTCAAGATAAAACAACTCCACAATGTCCATATGGAACAACAAAAATGCAAGATGGTTTTTCATTTATGGGTATGCAAGGTGATACCTATGCTGCTCATCAAGATCTTGGTAAGTTTTCTCTCTTTTTTTTTTTGCTTTAATTAATGCAACAAAAAATTTCTTAATGAAATTTTCTTTTGTTTTTTATCAATAGGTGGATCTGGTAGTTGTTTACGTCGTTTTAGTGCAATGCCATTTTTATTTTGTGATATTGGTAATTCATGTCATTATGCATCACGTAATGATTATTCATATTGGTTATCAACAAATGAACCAATGTCATCAAGTATGGCACCATTTGAAGCACGTGATATACCAAATCATTTAAGTCGTTGTGTTGTTTGTGAATCAGCAACACCTGTATTTACAATTCATAGTCAGTCACAACGTGTCCCAACATGTCCTGATGGATATGATCTTCTATGGACTGGTTATAGTTTTGTATTTACATCAGCTGATGGTGGTCGTGGTGATCAACAAAGTTTACAATCACCAGGTTCATGTCTTGAAAAATATCATGATCGACCATATTTTCATTGCAAAGATCATTCACATTGCAATTATTATCCAAATATGATGACATTCTATTTAGCTACGTTAGATGATTATACCGGCTTTGAAAAACCCAAATTACTTACATTAAAAGCTGGTACACAAAGACAACATGTTAGTCGATGTGCTGTATGTCATGCTAATCTATTTAAACAAACAACTTATGGACCATCTGCATTTTTTGCACAAGTCAAGAAAATTTAATTAAGACAGTAACTGAATATTTTATGTTATATTTTCTTTTCTTTTCGTTTTTTTGTAGTTTTCTTTTTTGCATTAATGATGACTCTTTAACAGTGAGATCAATCATCTTTTCTTTTCTTTTTTATTCGTTTTTCTTTTTTTGACTATTAATATGTATGCGTGACATTTATTAGATTTTGTTTGTCGGTTTGTTTGTTTTCTTTTGCGCTATCGTTCTTTTTTTTTTTCTTTTGTCGTCTATCTAGTCATCGAAATAAAATATTGAAATATCAGAGACATTTAGAACTATGATGTTTTATAAATTCTTAACAAATCGAACTATATTTAATATATCTTCGATTTATTTTGGAATCACAATCGAAAAAGGACAAAAGTGATGTGTCTAGTAAACGGTATCTCTAAGTACATATAATGTTCTTAAGGATGGAGTGTGAGTATGAATAAAGAGAAGATCCATTCCTCACAGCCATATCCTAAATTGCAACAATAACAGTGTTACCAAGTGAACGTGAACTGAGTCACAAAAAAAAGACTTTTATTGATTTTAAGATAGTGAATTTAACAAAGCACATGGAACTATCACACCTACAATCCCAACGATACAATCTAAAGCATCTTTTTTGATCGGTATTCCCCTCCAATGTGTTTTTTTCGACCTTTTTGCAGTCAACCATGGGATGTGGGTTCTAGTTTTTCAATATTCACACCTATTCTAGAGACGTAAGTTTTTTCAATATTTTTCTATTTTCATCCTTTTTTCTTTTCGATATTTTTCCTTTCTGCAATCGATCGAAAACTTGTTGTCTCTTAATTGGAATTAAGTTTTTTAGTCAACTCAAGTAACTCTTGAATTAAAAATAAAATACATGCATACAGCTTCTCAACCATTCGTGCGGCAATGTTAGTCAACGATTCTTTTCTTTTTCTTTTCGGTGTAAGAGAGAGAGAGATCTGATTCTCTTAATCTACGTCATCATTTCGATCAAAACAAAAACTTCAAGATACATATTTAATGAGGTTGGTTGTATAGAGGAAAAATTTCTTATTCAATTTTTTTTTTCTTCAACATTCGTAAAATGTAATTATTAAACAGTATGATATACTTTAAAAATCAAAAGTCTATGATTAGTATTTCTGTCAAGCCGTATAAATTAAGTTTTGTAGGTTTGTTCGACTTGTTGTATGTGACAAGTAGTATTTGACAAAACTCAGTTATTCTTAATATAATGGCATTTTGCAATATTATTTATGCAAGAAAAGTGTTCTTGAATGAAATATGTACGCAAACATTTAAGTTAAGTTATATAGCCTTGATTATTAATAAGAAATAGTGTGAAACTACAATATCATACAATAAACTCTCAAGTTTTTTTGTATTTTCTCTACATTAAAAAGAATATTAATTTAATGGAATAACACATGTAATTATTTCTTCTCTTTCATGTATTTTGATTTAATTCGAATTATTAAAAGAATCTTTATATATTTATTTGTTACAAATCATGTTGTCAAAGAAACAGTTAGATGAAATGTTTATTCAAGCAACCCATTTAATTTCGAACAATGACTTTGAGAAAATATAAATAGATGTTTAAAATTGAGAATTATTTATATACTTAAAAATATAATTGTAATTTCTGTTGATAAGAAGAAACATTGAATTCTATTATTTCCTTTTTCAATCATTGCAGATGATTGATATAGAAATTTAATTATTATTATTTTTTTTAAATAATTATATTGTTTCTTTTTTTTTTGGACAACATGTGCAATGAAACATTTATAATCACATCATGTGAGATGATTTTTTACTTTTAATCTAAAATATAACTACTTCAAACTTTTTCTTCTTGTCAAGGATAAACTGATGTTTATCTTTTCACTATTGATAATAATCTTGTATTTGAGTACGGTCAACTTCTTTTTTTATTCATGAAAAACATTGCAATTGTCTTTTTATGCCATTATTTTACCTTGTTTTATTATTTAGTGACAAGTGTCTACCTATGATGTATTACAGTATGTTTTATAATACAGGACATGAAAAAGACGAGAAAGAAAAAGAAGAAAAAAAAGTCAAAGTCATGTTCTACAATGAAGAATGAAGCATAGTATGTGACAAACAAATCGGACTCATACAAAAGAGCAAACGAAAGATTCTTAGATTATAAGAATAAAAGCAGCTTATCTAGAATTGATAAACATCATAGAGTTTTTTTTTAATAAAAAAAATGATAAAAAAAAACATTGAAGGCTTTATTTTGTGTCCCATAAAAATAAATATACATACTTTGGCCATACAAACAAATCATTCGCCTTTTTTTTTTGACGGTAAATGTACGTGCTCCTTCTTTGGCAAGTATATTTAATTTATTTTTTTTGAAAGAAGCATAGCGAATGAAAGAAAAATGAAGAGAGTAATGAAGGAGAGAAGTTTGTTGTCATTTCATTTCATTTTATTTCAACATACACAACAGCCATTGTTAAATGTCCTACGACCGTTCAATTTATTTTACTTTTTTTCTTTCTTTACTTTACTAGTGAATGTATAGTCGACTTTTCAATGCAAGTAAGTTACCATAACTATTCACATCATTGTTCACTCATATTGTCTTCACTTTTTAAGAAGCTATACAAATGCTTTACATAATCGTCAGCATCTAAGTGGTTATATATATATATATATTGTACCATTACCATAACATATGTCAATGCTCGTTTCATCTCGATTATTACCACCACCATTACCTTCTTCCCCGATGACTATCTTCGATAATAATATCGATCATAGTCATCAAACACATTCAACATTATTACCAAAATATTTTAATGTTCCGTTTGCTATTCAACATGGATATTTTCGTTGTATTCGATATTTGTTACAACTTCATTACGATCCTAATGAACGCGATAGTCAACTTCGAACACCATTAATTTTATGTGCATATGTTGAAAATGATCGATGGAGTTTATCACTTGCACAAAATTTATTAGAAAAAGGAGCTAAAATAGCCTTAGAAGATCATGCAAGACGAAATGCGTAAATTAACAAAAATCTTTTTAGTATTCATTTCATTTATATGATTCCTCTTCTTTTTTTGTTTTTATTAGAATGCATCATGCTTGTGCTTTACAACGTTTTCATCTTGTACAATTATATTTATCTTGTTTAGATTTTAATATTGAAGGAAAAGATTGTGAAGGAAATACTTGTTTACATTATGCTGCTATTACGGGTAATTTAAAAAAAAATTACAGTTTCTTCCGGAGATTATTTTCTTTTTCTTCTTTGTTTCATTTCAAGGTAATTCTGGAATTGCTGAGTTACTTATTAGATCAGCAGAAAAACTCGGTATTCGTCTCGATCAATATGTAAATCGAGAAGGTAAATTTGATTTATTTATGTTTGTTTTCGTTTTTGTTCAAGTAAAAACTAGAATCGTTTGTTTTTATTATACTCAGGGTGTTCAGCAGCTGCTCTTGCACTTAAATATGGGCATATTGAATGTGCTAATCAAATAACTCATCGTGATTGGGATGAGTTTTTTGTTGTTCCACGTCCCTTATCTATTTATGAAAGTCCTTCAACAATGGATGATAACCAAACAACGACAAAAAAAACGAAAACGAAAAATAATTCTTATCAAACATCAGAAAAAAAACCTGAAACTCGTCCATCAACACTTTCATTTGGTTTATTGAAAATAATTTTTAATGATAGTGATACTGGTTATTCAAATCGCTTAGCAAGTCTTTGTAAGCAAGCTAAACAAAATCGACGTCGTCAACATTTAAAACATCCTAAACATGAAGCACCACAAACAGCGACAACGACAATTAACAAAGTTGACCGAACAAAATCAACATTAACTAATGGTGCACATTATTGCAGTACAGAAGCTGTTGTTAACGAAACACAATCATTACATAAAACTAAAGAACACCAAAAAAATTTTGACCCTCATGGAAATCTTAATGATTCGAATCGAACAAGCCCCCGTATACAATTGTTAATACAACAACAAAAACAAGTTTTTAATAAATCAAATTTTAATGACCAAAATTCATCATTTATACAAAACACGACAAGTAAAACACAATTATCAGTTGATGATATCAATCAAATTAAATTAAATTCATCGAAAAATGATAATGAAGAAATAAAATCTAAAATAAGTATGCCAACAATATATCCACAAACATCAAGTTCAACATTAAATCATTCAGAAAATAGTGGATCAAGAATAAAAAATAAATTTCAGAATTCAACAACATCATTTATACGTAATCAAACATATATCAATTCTTCAGCATTCCATATTAATTCTGCTAAAACACAACCAACACATATTTCATCAGCATCGACAAAAAAGAAACCATTATTGACTGATCAATTTGATTCGGTTTCAAACATTCCTAAACATAATTATTCTCTTATGGGATCAGATTCATCAACATATTCTCAATCAATGTATGCGGGTCGTCCAATATCAGCTATAGTACATCATTCGAATTCAAAATCAAATGATTCATCATGTTCAATTCGTGAAGCTACAGGAGCAACATGTCGATATAACAAACCTGAAGAATTATTTGGTCTTCGACCTGAAGAACTTTTTGCTCCTGAACAATATCAACCAAAAATTCTTGATCAACATTCAGCAATAAGAACAAACGACAATACACGTTCAAAACGTAATCAATTACAAAAACAACAGCACATATGGCAAAATGATGTTGATAAAATTCTTGATTTATATAATGTTCATCATTGTGCTAATTATCGTAAATCAGCTATACCACCATCAACAACAGCACAAATAGATACAATCAGTGATTCAACAAATAATGGTCGAGCTCGACGAATGTCTATATCAAAAAATTCTTCAACAAATTTAAAACAACCAATTAATCCAAAACAATCAACGTTTGCTTCATTAAGTTTCCCACGACGAAATTCAATTAGTCGCCCATCAATTAAATTGACAAATGCATAAACA